ACTTCTCTCAGAGAGCCCGGCAAGCTACTGAGAGTATCTCGCCCACACGGCAAAGCCTGGCAAGCTACCTGTGATGTATTCAATATGCCAAACACAACAAACAGTAACAACAAGTCTCACAATGGTGACGTTTCTGGACCCACTTGAGCAAATCGATGAACAATGGGAGGACAGTGCTAGTATAAAAACAGTGCTAGTATATTTTTTTCCAGGTCTTTTCAATTTTTTCTTATAGACCTATATAAGAAACTTGTTTCAACATGAATCTATATTTTTTCATGTCTTTTTGAATTTCAAAAATTTAAGTTGAGGCTTCATAGAAGTACATTACATATCTAACAATTTTAATAGAGCTGTAAGTGCAAATATATTTAAAAAAATAAGTACAGGTGCAGGGTGCTTCCTTTGCACACGACTGACCCAGGTCTGATCACCAGCACCCCTACGCATTCCCTGAGCACAGCCAGGGATGATGCCTGAGCTTAGAACCAGGAGGAAGAACTGACCACCATTAGGTGTGGCCCAAGTCAATACAAGACATGAAGTAATGTGGACATTTGCATTTTGTGAGATTCTATGTTGCTATTGAGTTGATGTATCAAAGAGAATTCAAAACCTCACAGATGATATGGCATGTGAAGCAAAATAAATATGACAGTGAAAGAAAATAAAATATTGTTTACTTAGCACAGGGGGTAGGGCGTTCGCCTTACAAGCGGCCAACATGGCCGACCCGAGTTGGATTCCTCCGCCCCTCTCGGAGAGCCCGGCAAGCTACCGAGAGTATTGGATATGCCAGACACAGTAACAACAAAGTCTCCAATGAAGACGTTACTGGGCTCGCTCGAGCAAATCGACGATCAACGGGAGGGCCTTTACCTTTTACCTTTTACCAAAACAAAGACCTGACCCTATTAAAATATTTTAAAATTTTGCTACATTAGAAAGAATCTATCACAAAGAATGAAGAAATCAGTGTTAAATATTTGCTCTAAATCAGTCATACTTATTTTTAGTGACACTGACAATATTAGCAATCCATACACTTGGTCTTCATTTTTTATTTTTTATTGATGGGATATTGTTATTTCACCATTACTTTGATAAGTGGAGTTCAGGAGGAGTTCATCCAGAGATACTATGTATTTTAGAAGAAGCAGAATTTGCCCTGGAAGTCACTAAGGAGTCTGCTTCACAGGGTGGATATGAACACACTTAGAACACTTTGGATTTTTCTAGTTCATGTTCTGCCCCCAGTTATCATATTTGTAGGAATTGCTAATCAGATTACAGAAAGATTACACATTCATTAACTTACATTTTATCTAAACTAAAGAGACAGCAGAATTCATGTTAAGAACTTCATTTTTTTTCTTTTTATTTTATGAGCCAGGTGAAGGGTGTGGTTTTGGTATTTTGATATATTGTGTTGCTCAGCAATATAAAATTGTTTCCAATATAGTTTGTATAAGTGAAGCGCAAAGGAAGTTCTTCCTTCCTTTCAAGGGGATACTTTCTATACAATTTGTTCTACAGATACCAACATTTCTGCAGACAAGAGGTCAGAAAGAATCTTAACAAAATGTATGTTAGTGAAAATCAGGAGGGAAAAGATATTACTTCTAAAAGGCACTTCAAGTTCTTCGGCATTAAACCCTGTCCTTTTTAATACAGTAGTTGCTTTATTTTATGGTAGCAAAGTGCAACTTGTCATTCTATCATTTTCAATTATTGTTCTTTTTATTGCTCTTTGAGGCCAGTAACTTTACAATCCATTCTAGCCTCATCTTTAATAAGCATTTACAGTTGAACAGACCTCTGTTCATTATTTCCAGGCTTCATAAGGGTCTAAGTTTCATATGACTTCCCTTATGCACCATAATGATGAGGCAACATATGAGAGTCGTTGTGATAATTTCTTTTTTTAATTATGTGCATGAGTCACTTTTGTTGTAAGGATGACAATTCCACCTTTAATTCGACTTACATATCACTTAGGAAATACTTAGAGCAATATAATTTTTATTACGAACTGCAGAATATTTTATGAAGTCCTAGAGAAACAACTCTTTCCACTTCTGGGAAGTGTCTCAGGTTCTTTGAAAAAACTATGGTTTAAGGTTTTTGTTTTGTTTTGTTCTTCCGTATTGTTTAAAGAATATTAAGATAGTGATGCTATAAATAAAAGTAAAAACTTAGATAAAAATATAATTGTACAAAAACACAGCTAAAACTCTAAAATGAAATCTTTCCCATTTTTACCACCTTCCAGTTCTATATTTCTTTGAGCAAGTAATTTAAGTAAAATAATAAAATTTAATTAACTGCACAATATCGTTATAATATACTTACGAATCATTTTTTATAGGACTTGTTTTCTTCCTGGTTCCAAGCAAAGAAGATATTTTTTCCTTAATCATAACAAAAAATGCTGTATAAATGCTATAAAACATGGCATAGGTTTGTAGAAACTGCTGATGTTTTATATATATATATTTATATATATATACACACACACATATATTTATTGAAGAGAACAAACCTCTTCCAAATTGTTTGGCAAGATGCTTCTATTTGGACTGTGGAAAACCAATTCATGGCTGCATTTCTGGAGAGTGTATAAAACTAACATTGCTATGTAGTTTCACTGACAGAGGTGCACTCATGGAAAGAAAGATGGATGGGATGTCAGTTTTCTCTATCATGGGATCTCCATTTAGTGACCCAGATGAGGACTGAGAGAACTTGTCACACAAGCATGACAGGGCCAGATACGGCTTTAAATGGAGCTCCAAATCTCATATAGATTTGAAGTTGCTGCTAGAGCACAAAATTTGTCATAAAAGACTTGTCAGTGTAGAGTTCATTAAGGTAAAGGATGATAGTGCTTTATCTGGACACAATTGAGCTCTCCTCTGGCGGCTGGATCTTCAGTCACAAGAGATTAGTGTTTTGCTTTGTTTCTTGGAAGACTTCTCCAAATGATTTCATTAAGATTTTCCTTGTTCTTTATTTTTAACTAAAAAGCTTATCACAACAACCCCCCCCCCCCACACACACACACATTTACTCCTTTTCTCCTTTGTTAAATTTGGAGGTGTGTTTGTGATGTCAATTCACAGGCACTTGGGACTTGACTGAGTCTTGAGGTGAGGTGTTAAACCTTGCAGGGCAGAATTGCAGCACTTAAGGTGAAAGACAAGGCTTTTAATCACTTGCACTGTGACTGCCACACTAGAAATTTCATGGCTGCCACTGAATTTTCTTTTGCTCAAGTTTCAGAGATCAATAGTTTCTCAAAAATACCAACCTGCCCAGGATTTAACTGAAATTCCAAAGTTAAAAAGTCACAAAAAATTTTATTCCAATTGCAAAAAGGTTTCTAAGAAGTTAAGATTACAATTTTAAAATGTACTATTTTGATAGCAATTTAGTACTGCGAATTTCAGCTTAATTCTTATTCATTATCCCCTTTGATGCAGTTAAATTTCTTTTCCTTCCCTCCTCCCTCCCTTTCCTCTTTCCTCCTTCCCTCCCTCCTTCCCTCCCTCCCTCCTTCCCTCCCTCCCTCCCTCTGTCTCTCCCTCCTGTCCCTCCCTCCCTCCCTCCCTCCCTCTCTTCCTTCATTCCTCCCTCCCTCCCACCTTCCCTCCCTTCCTCCCTTCCTCTCTCTTTCTTTCTTTCTTTCTTTCTTTCTTTCTTTCTTTCTTTCTTTCTTTCTTTCCTTCCTTCCTTCCTTCCTTCCTTCCTTCCTTCCTTCCTTCCTTCCTTCCTTCCTTCCTTTCCTTTCCGCCTTTCTTCTTTCTTTCTCTTTACTTCTCTCTTCTCTCTCTGGTTCTGTTTCCTTTCTCTTTCTCCCTGACTTTCTCTTTCTATCTCTCCTTATGTCAGTCTTTGTCTTTCATTTTATTTTTCTTTTTCATTCTTTCTCTCCTTCCTTCCTCCCTTTCTCCCCTCCCTTCCTTCCTCCCTTTCTCCCCTCCCTTCCTTCCCTCCCTCCTTCCCTCCCTCATTCCCTCCCTCCTTCCTTCCCTCCTTCCTTCCCTCCTTCCTTCCCTCTTTCCTTCCCTCCTTCCTTCCCTCTTTCCTTCCTTCCCTCTTTGCTTCCCTCCCTCCCTCCCTCCCTCCCTCCCTCCCTTCCTTCCTTCCTTCCTTCCTTCCTTCCTTCCTTCCTTCCTTCCTTCCCTTTCCTTCCAGAAATCCATAAATATATCTGGGACAGGACTAATTTTACAAAAGAGTAACAAGTGAAACATAAGTAGGAAATAATATGTTTAATAAAGGCATTAAGGCATTTGCTATGCACCCTGCTCAACCCCAGGCACTACATATGGTTGGTTGCTCAAGCTTTTCCAAGGGTGACCCTGAGCACAGTTGACAGTGGTTGTGGCCTAAAACGAGAGAGAGAGAGAGAGAGAGAGAGAGTGTTTTGCAGTTTAATTATTCTCAGTTTTATGTGTTTTTCCATAAAGGTGATCAAGTAATAAATGCTCTGTCATAAACCTGATTATCCTTCTTTTATCCTTATTCTTCTTCAGATCTGAAGGATTTTATCCTGCTACTATAAATTCTGCCTCATGTTAGCCTTTACTTCATTCTTCTCCAGACATTGCTTCTTCCATGCAGACCCAGAATTCAATAAATAATATCTGTAGAGGAAGACGGGTCTAGAAATTTGACACCAACTCAAGACATCTTGAAAGGTCACATTATCGTTAGAATTCTACATTGGCCCCACTAGTATTCTTACATGTTCCTTGTAGTACAATTTCTCCCTTTGCAACTTCTATCCTGATATTTTCCTTTCTGTGCATAATTTGAACCCAGGAGTTCTCCACAATCTTCTTCCTACATTCTTATTTTTTCTCAGAAACTGTTTTCCAAGAAATTTCACTAGTGCTATGACATCCAGAGTGTATTGTGGGTTAAATAAACCCCACAATATTTAACCCTTTAACTATTTTTCTTCCAGTTGTATATACATTAGAAATAACTTTATTGTGCTCGCTTCAGCAGCACATGTACTAAAATTGGAACAGTACAGGGAAGATTAGCATGGCCACTGTGCAAGGATTACACACAAATACATAAAGTGTTTCATATTTTTATATTTGTGGTAGAGAATATGCACTGGTGGAGGGATGGGTGTTTGATCAGTGTGTTATTATAACCCAAACATGAAAGCTTGTAACTATCTCACAGTGATTCAATAAAATTAAAAAAAAAGAAATAACTTATTTAGATCCTCTTATTGAAAATCACAATTAGAAAAGGTCAACTGTTCATGAAGGCAAATAATTATTGCTGTATGTCATTTTGAGAATTAATATTGAGCTATAATCATAACAATGTTGATCTATAAAGTAATCAAATAATATGTATATTTAAAAACACCTAGTAGTCTCACTAGGTAGACAGAATAACAATACCCGTTTGTTTTAAAATTATGGATTTGAGTCTCCGCTTCTGTGTGAGTCTCCCAATGAAATGGTTTATTCTCTCTAAGATCAATTACTAAATGTTTATTAAGTCATTATATTGTTCATGTTGTTCGTTCCATTGTGATGCATCATTATTTCTGTGCAAAAAACTATCAAAAATTAAAGATGCTTAAGATAACATATAATTTAACTTAGTTTCACGTGTCAGAAATATATAGTAGTCTATTCAAGCTGTATTTTGAATGCATTCAAAATACAAGGCTGGTGGCTTTCTCAGTTGATAGCTTCACTATGGAAAGATATTCTATAGTCTACCTACAGTTAGCGAATTCTTTGCAGAGATAAAATGCACTTGTCAATTGTTTTAACCACACATACACACACACACTCGCACACACATTCATACACGATTAATGAGAGAGAGAGAGAGAGAGAGAGAGAGAGAGAGAGAGAGAATGAAAGTGACAAAGCCAGAGAGATTTAGAGCGTGTAGGGCACATCCCTTGCATAGGGATGTCTCAGGTTCCATTCCTGGTACAACATATGGTGAACCACGTACTGCCAGGAGTGGTGCCTGAAAAGAGTCAGACAGAGAAATCCCTGAGGACCACTAGGTGTATTGTCACCATAAATAATAATAACACTGTAGCACTGTCCTCCCGTTGTTCATCGATTTGCTTGAGCGGGCACCAGTAAAGTCTCCATTCTGAGACTTGTTGTTACTCTTTTTGAAATATCGAATATGTCATGGAGAGCTTGCCAGGCTTTGCTGTGTGGGCAGAATACTCTCAATAGCTTGCTGGGCTCTCCAAGAGGGGTGGAGGAATCGAACCCGGGTTGGCCATGTGCAAGGCAAAAGCTCTACCCGCTGTGCTATTGCTCTGGCCCATAAATAATAATAATAATAATAATTATGATAATAATCATAATGATAATAATAATAATAATGTGAGAGAAATAATGACAAATACAGATTGAGAAAGATGTTTCCCTTCTAGACTATGACATTACAGTCTTCAATAAATAAGCTCACTTTAATAGAGATGGTGGAAAGAGCTCAAAAGGGTAGATACATTCCTTTGTCGTACCAGGCACTAAGTTTGTTGGCAAGCACTTCATGGACTCCCGTGAATGACTAATTAAAGTTTGGTGACCAAAGGCTCTGATGATATATGATATTAATTTTTCATATGTTTAAGTAGCATCTATATATCACTCCTGGTAAATCATGTGCTCGCATTGTTTTGTTCATTTTTGGATGAGCTTATTCTTTTATTACAGTTGAGTTGCATTTTTTTCATATTTGTATACACACTTATTTTTTCATTAAAATATAGTGTACAGTGATAAATGTTTAATTTCTATGAAGTTCATTTTATTAAGTATGACTCATGCTTTTGTTACTGTATTTAAAAATCACCAAACCCATGGTCACTGTGATTAGTGCTGTGTTATCTTCTAGATTTATTTTGGTATTTTACATTTATTCTATAAACCATATAAGTCAATTCCTATGAAAATTCAGTATTTGTTTCTGAACTAGATTTAAGGATCAGATTTATTTTTGTATTTGTATTTTCAGTCATTATGTTATATAAAATATTAATTAAGTTTAGTGAATATCCATCAGCTATTTTATGCAATGCAGTAATGGAGAAAATAAATTTTAGTTTATATAGATTTTCTTGAGTATGATGAAAGTATGGTAAATAGAATGGTTAATTAATGGCTATAGAAAAAAGGTAATTTCTATTGCAAGTTGATAAATGAATACATTTCTGCTCATATTAATTGTGGAAACTTTCTTCTGTGAATGAAGTAAAATATTTTACTAAGGGAATTTACAGATATAGGAATGGAGAGAGGGGAGAGAGAGAGAGAGAGAGAGTCAGAGAGAGAGACAGACAGAGACAGAGACAGTGACAGAGACAGAAAAAGACTCAGTCACGTGAGAATACAAGTTTCTCCAGAGAAAGAAACTGAACATTTTTTAAATCAATGAAAGCTATAACAAAATTTTATAGTTAATGCAATATTAAAATTATGATTATTGGTTGCCTTGTTTTCATGACATATTTGGTCAATATTTATTTAAGATCACTTTAATTTGTTTGTTTTGTGGTTACACTCAGCGATGTTCAAGGCTTATTCCAAGCTCTGGGCTCAGGAATCACTCAATGAAAGCTCAGGGGACCATATGGGGTACCAGGGATCAGATACATATACAGCCACATACAAAGCAAATTCTCTTTCACCCTACCTGCTTGTTATAATTCCAGCCCAGTACTTATTAGGATCTTATCTTCTATAAGAAAATAGAAGGTGATAGAATTAATACAAAACAACTAATACAACAGAAAACAGTTGGTTTTCTCATTCAGTTTTATGTTAGCAAAGAAATTGATTAAAAAGTCAGTGTATCAATAGACTTTGTCATCATAGTTAATAATATTTTGGTTTTTTTTTCTTAAATTGAAACTTGTTTAGGAAGCTGTGATGTGGTAGAAAGAATACAGACATTTCCAGAGTGGAAGTAGGCAAGGAAAGAAACAGAGACAGGCAAGACAAATCATTATTCAAAGGCTTGAAGAGCAAGCCTACTAATATTTATTATATTACTCAAGATATACTGGATAAATGCAACTTAATTATAAAAAGCTTGTCTTATATATCTTAGGCATTAAAGTAAAATGCATCTTAGTTAAATGTCAAAACCTTTTATTTTATCTAAATTTATTAATTTTTGTATTGAGTCACAGTTACAAAGCTTTCCATGCTTATATTTCATTCATACAATGTTCTAACACCCATCCCTCCACCAGTGTAAATTTCCACCATCAATGACCCCATTTCCCTTCTATCACCCTCCACCTTCAGCCTGCTTAAGGTGGAAGGTGATAGAAGGGTAGGGAATTTTTCTTCTACTTTTCTCTCTCCTTTTGGGCATTATTGCTTACCATACATACACTGAGAAGCGTTGTACCTTTACCTATTTTCAGCATGCAGTTCTTATCCAGAGTCATCTTTTCCACATTGCCATAGTGGTCTTCCTCTATCCTGCTGTCTTCTTCCCATACCTCTGGATCAAATTATTCTTTGATTTCTTTATTGGATCAAATTAGTCTTTAATTTCATTGTTCCCTCATAGATATCTATTCTATTATATATTGCATGTTATATAGGAAAAATCAGTGCTGATTCCAACTCCAAGATGTTGGCAAATATATTTTAGTACTGCTCTATTTTGGAAGGCTAATAGATGCTCCTTTAACACTTATATGATTTTCAAATGATGTATGGTCTTTCTGAAAGTGTTACTTAAAGACATATGTTCATGAGATTCTTATAATGTAGCATATAAGCAAAAAAGGCAACTATATATATGATTAAGTAATTTTTTTCACATTCATGGTTGAAAGGTGGTCAAAACAGTCCCTACAATTATGACACAAGGAATTCAGCAACATAGCTACATCAGAATATATTAGATGGGTGATTAAAAAATAAAATAAAATAAACATTGATTACTGTAGTCCCCAAATAAAAAGTCTTCAGTGCTAATATGTGCTTTTCCATTTTTTACCAAATTATTTACGAAGCCAAGTTTTAGTTACGTTATATTATTAATAATCATTACTAAAAGGAGCTGAGAATATCCACCAAGAGAAGTTAAAGTTTTATTCCAAAAATTAAAAAATATTAAAATCTGTAGTTTTTAAAAAGTGCAAAATTTAGTGATCCTTTGTAAACCTTAATTGCTTTAATTTGAATTTAACACTTTCCTTGGTGTCCTCATTCCTGCTAAAGTCTCTCAGGAGCTGAAATATATCATAATTAACAGTCTCATTCATGCATTTCATGTGTTTTCATTGTGTGAATAAAATCCTAAACTTTCTAATTAGATTAATACAGCTTTTCAAGGGGTGGATTTGAAATGACGCCTCTATATGAGATGGCATTATAATTCCTAATAATGTCAGCCATAATCACCGTACTACTCAGTACCACCATGTTACTTGTTTTAGTAACATCAAATAGTCTAACTTTTTTAAAAAAAAATTCCACAGGAAAACATTTATATTTTTACTGCCAACCATATCATACTCTGTATTTGAAATATCACTTTTCTAGGACTAATGCCTGCATGCCATCATCATCTTATGTCCTTGTTCCTAATCAGCATTTCCCAGTGATATCCACATGGCACTCAAAGCTGCCTGTAAGTCTTTCTAGAAGGCACATAATTAGGCACAAAAATAACAAATTTCTAGTGAAAATTCAAATTAGCTATGTTTCTGATGCATATTCTCCCAAGAACAAACTCTACATATAAGTGAAACTGCTTCAGTTTCGACTTAATGATTAACTTTCTGTGCTAAGCATGTAGGGCGTTTGCCTTGCAAGCGGCCAACATGGCTGACCCGAGTTCGATTCCTCCGCCCCTCTCAGAGAGCCCGGCAAGCTACTGAGAGTATCTCATCCGCATGGCAAAGCCTGGCAAGCTACCCGTGACATATTCAATATGCCAAACACAGTAACAGTTGTCACAGTGGAGATGTTCTGGGCCCACTTGAGCAAATCGATGAACAACGGGAGGACAGTGATAGTGACAGTGATGAACTTTCTATTATTGGTAGATAGGAGATCGTTAGGCAAAAAGATGCCA